GAATGACTCTTGAAGAAAACAAGAGTGAAAACATTAAAGCTGTTGATTAATTGATGAAACTTACAAGAGTTTCCAATAATCACTTTTCAACTCCCTGCTGTTTCTTCGGACAATCATACATTTTTCAACGTCTTTAACACCGCCTTCCTCGAATGTGGTTCGCATAATTACTATAACGTTTTTGTTTTTGAAACGCTTTAAATCTAAATTAATCACCTATCTTTAATTTTAACTTCATTTCTGACAAGGTTTCTAAAAATATAAATTAAAAGCAATGATTGCAGAACATCCTTCATAGAAACAGTCGCAAATTTAGAAGAAAAAAAATACTACACATAACAAGGAAACCTCTCCTACAAACCTGAATATTTTCAAACAAGTATAAATATTTAATGTCCCCCAAAACAAAACTGTAACTTTAACTTATATCCATTTAATGGCAGAAATATCTTTTATATTACCCCTCTAAAACCTATTAATGTCAAATTAGTGACTTTTGTAACGAGCGCCTCGGGGACGAAGGGAACTGTATTATTTATTAACAGAGCGTGAAACATACTACTGCCACCGCTCACTAATAACAGGTTTTAATTGTCTGGACTTGCCCCCTATTGACCATCCGGTACCATTAGAGACTTATATATTATACTTTCTAACAATTTAACGGCCGGATGAATTGCAAAGAAATCTATGTTTTTACTTTTCCTTTGCGTAATTATTCTTCGGATTTTGGTCACTAACTTATTCTCATAAAACTATATTGCCGATAATCTAAATGGGTTAATTATCATAATAGGTCAAAAATAGACTACTTAAGAGAAGTTATATTATTATTTTCATTGTTGAGGGTTATATTGAGAAAATGAAAAAAATAATTAACTAACATGTAATTAATGAAACATATTATAATATTTTAAATAATAATTATAAAATAAAACTAATATGCTGAAAAGAGTAGTAGTATTAAAAATTAACAAATATATATAACAATAAAGAGGCAAAAAGGAGTAAAGAAAAGAGATATTAATAAAGAAAATTCAGAACAAAAATGAGTTTTATGAACTGTGCATAAACTGCAAGTACATAGAACTCTAAAAATAAGATAAAAATACAAAGAAAAGTAGAAAACATTTTTTAAAAAAAAGAAGGTAAATTATAAAAAATTGATTTTTTTTTTTTATTAAAGAATTAAAAATTTAGAATAAAAATAATGAAAAGATTATATCCTCAAATTAGAGTGCTTCCTAATATTGTATTAATGTAGCAAGGCAAATTATTTCAATACAATAGCATACCCTCCAACTTATGAGGATTTTGAAAATAATTCTTTCTAGTGGTAGCGAACCAAAGTAGAAATTTTTAAAGCAAATGGATCTCTCATAAAACTTTTATCAGAACTTAAGAATCTAGCCATATGGCATGCACTTTTATAAGTAATAGTGGACAAGTTACGCTAAAATTATTTTTTTTTTAAATATTAAGACATTAATTTTGCTACCGTCTGAAAAGAAGATTTCTGAAACTACGGAAATTCCGTAGCAGTTGGAGGGTATGCAATAGTGTGAGATTTTTATTTCTTCATTTGTTTCTGAAAGAAATAATAATTTTAATTTTTCTTCTCTTTTTTGGTTAAAAATTTTTCTCTTATATTTTTATCATATATATTATATATGATAAAAATACAAATACTTTGTATTTATTCTCCAGAAAATTTATTTCTGAATGCTTGAGAAAACACCAAAGAAAAATTGTTTATCTATTGAAAATCCTTTCAGAAAATTTGGATTCAAACCGATAAAATAGGCAATCTTGTTAAACTATTTTACGAAATCTCTACCATTGTTTGAAATCTCACTTTAAACGTATAATATGCCATTTTACTACGCTCTTATTAACTCACTTTCGTGTGTGCAGGGAAAAAATCTAACTTTTTGATATTTGAAGTTATTCCAACGCTGCACGTTTGGATCTAAAAAAAATATTAAAGAATTGAAAATCGTTTATTGATTTTAATGTTTTTTTTTATTTAAAGGGGGCTAATTAAATTAATTTAATTAAATAATCATTTTTAAAAAATTGCTCTTCGCCAAGGAAAATAAGAAAGAAAGCCACAGTTTGAGTGATTTAACTGTGAAAGACGACCGGACTGTGCAGTGGTAAGCGAGCTGACCTCACATCAGGAAGGTCTTGGATTCGAATCCAGGACAAGGCTTAGATGTTCTTTCATCCTCTGTACTATCTGCCCTTACTTACACCTAATATGGCACCCCTGAAAGAGTGGCCAACAAATCTGCCCTACTGATACCTGAATGACGAGTGTTAATCGGGTGGTCAATAAAAGGCCGGCCAGGTGGCCGAGCGGTCACCGTACCTAACTGCAAAGACAATGGATGGTTACGGGATCGAATTCCACTAAGGGCATGGATGTTTTCTGTGTTGTGTGAATGTGATCCACCCTATGAACGGGTATCTGTGTCAATGTGGCGTGGGTAATGCTGCTCACCCCCGCGACTTTGGTTCACAGGTGCCCTTCGGATAACGTTCAAGAGTGTTCAGTGCTGCCGCTTAAAAAAAAAACTTAAAAGAAAAATTGATTTGGCTGAAGGATGGAACAGCAGCACACTTATTTCGGATCCGAAAAAAATGGTTTTTAGACCGAAGAAATTTGTTTTTTTCGAACAGATTGGTGCAAATAAATTTGGCTTTTTGAGTAGATAGTCTTTATACTCAAAGAAGCACGGCGCTTGCAAAAATGTAATTTTTGTGCAGATGTAAATTAACATTTTATATCATGCTTAACAAAGCTTGGAAAAAAATGCATTGTTAAATAAAAAAGACGTAATAGAAACATAGCTTTTGAGAAACTAGCACCACCTCGAGTTTCTTTGCATTTCCTGACCCCATTTTAATAATAGAATGCTTTAATATGATTAGAGTCTATTGCTTTTAGATTATTTTCTGCCATTAAAATTTTTAAGAAACTACAACAATGAACCTCTATTCAGAGATAACTTTTTATTTATTGCTGCTATTTATTCCCTGAACCCATAGATGAATTTCGGATATTCTAACGTGTTAAGTTGCAGCAATCAGCCTCCCTTCTGAGATATCTTTTTTTAAATTTACTTGCATTTCCAAAATCCAATTACAGTGTGTAAAATAATCCTTTAACATGAATTTCGGACATCAAACATTTTAAGTTACAATATACAGTATTTTTTTCCCCTCACTAACTTTGTTTGAGGTCAGTAAGAGCAAAGAGATTAAAATCATCAATAACCAGTTGATTGTTAAGTGTGACAGGATTACATTTGCCTTTCTCTAAGAACTGCCTAAAAGTGTTAGCCAAAAATAAAATGGTTTTAGACAATTGTAATTCGCTCTCATTGGCACCAACACAGATACATAAGCTATAGATATCTGAAGTGTTTACCTTTAATATGGTAGTTTGTTATACCGATTTCAAATCTGAAAACCGATCACGTCAGGTTTTTAAGATATTGACAAAAATTTATTTTCATGGAACACTGTTTGATTTCTATAGAATACTGTTTAAACTTTAGTACTTTCAAAGTAATATTGTTCAAACATTGTTAATTTTAATGAATTGTTAATTTTAGTAATTTTAATGGAATTTGCTTGCATTAGGTATAACTGCACATTTTCAATTACACAAAAAACTTATGAATTTCTTTGCAATGAGTGACGTCTTGTACAAAAACCATAAGAAAAAGCTCTGGAGAAAAAAATATCTTGAAGAGAACACAAGGAAAAAGAGCATCGGGTCAAAAAGACTACTTTAACAACTGATATTTTAGCACTCAATTAATGACCAATATGATTCAGGCTGCTAATTATTTGAATGTAAATTGATACTTTTACAAAAACTCATTATAATACAATGTTTAATTTGAAGCTTGGAGGAACAATAATTTTAATGCATATTCTAATTTTTCCTTACTGCACAAAATACAATATTATACACTCAATAAAACTATTATACATATAATGTATCAATCAACAAGTTTCCCAAGAGTAAATAAAATGAAGTGCGTAAAGTTCTTTCCATGAATTTTAAATTGATCCTAATACTTGAATAATACTCACTTTATTAGATTAAATATTTCATTACTTTAAATTATTTAACAACCCAAATCAAATTGAATGAAAGTCTATATAATTGTTAAATAATTATATGGATCAAATAATAAATAAAGTGATGTTTTTTTTCTAGTATTTAATAAATTATTATTTTTAAATGTTTTTTTTTTGGGGTGGGGTTAACGTTTTTACCTGTTAGCCAATAGTTACTGTGTGCACACTCAAGATGTACAATACTGGAGTATACCTTAGATTAAGGATGTATTTTCAATTGTATAGATTTTATATATGCTGTATTTTGAACTAGAAATTTCTATATAGTATATGTGAGTGTTTTCTTAGCTAATGATATGTTCATGAGTACTCACTGTAACAGTAACTGGCTCTAGTGAAACATTAATGGTTGAAGAAGTATACCCAAAAAGAGGTGGGTGATAGATACAAATGGTTTGCATATTTTTTGAATTAGCAAAATTTGTCTTAGAAAATGTATAGGGTACTAAGATAAATGCAACATTTTAAAATTTGCTTATCAGTGTAAACATTGGGTAGAGCTCAAAAACTCTTTTTGCCCCCTTCTATCTCGTTTAAATAATAAATAATTAAAAAATATAGGAACTCATTCAAACAAAAATACTTTGTTGACATTTTTTCAGGCAAGATTAAAATTTATGAATTTTCATCAACAAAAAAAAAAATAAAAATAAATAAATAAATAAATAGTCCAAGAATGAAAAAACATAAACTGAGTATTTTATATTAAGGGTACTTGGCTTAAATAATGATATTTAATGACAACTAATGTATGTCACAAAAATCAAAGACAAAGTAATGAAGATATCATGAATAATGACAAATTTAATAGTGAGAAGTAGAAATATAAATAAAACATCCTAAAATACAATTGCGTAAAATATATACAAATATTTATTTCATTTACATTGCATACATTTTGCATTATTGCGCTGGTTTCCTTTTCCTTAGACTTTTTATCTGGCGTTCCCAGTCTTTTTTATGCCTTAAATAAAGCAACATAGCAGCTTGAGCATCTTCTACCTAAACAAATTAACAGACAATCACCTAATTAATGAGGAATATCAGACATAATACAACATTATCATAAATCATTGTTAATATTATGCTATTTAAAATTAAATACAAAATTTTATTTATTTACAGGAAGTAATAACAGGGTGCGTAGCCAAATCTTTGAATAAAAAATAAGCACTTTTTAAAAACTTTTCAAGCACTTTACAAAAATTTTCAAGCACTCAAAAAATTCATATTGAATCAATGATATTATTGAAAAACAAACAATTTTTATGAACAGTTTTAGCATTAAAAAAAAACTCAAAAGGATACGGACGTAAATCGAAACAATCAGTACTTTCCCACATCGCCGCGTGAATTCAACTTGACTCTGAACTCAGAACAAAAATACCCTTACCCCCTACATCAAAAAAGTGTTAGAAGTAAAATAAAATAAACAAGAATAAAATTATAAATTAAAAAGAAAAACATTTAATAAGGATCTGACTCTATCCGAATTGGAGCACTCGGGTTTCAATTTCGAGTGTGCGCGCATGCGCAGGTCATATCGTGGGTACGACATGAAGTCCGTGTGAATGATTACGTAGCAAACACCCCATTTTTTGTGAAATGCAGGGGATCCGTCAGATATCACTGAAGTAAAGAAAAAAAATTTCGTGAAAAAAAAGCACTTTTAAAAGCTTTTAAAAACGAAACCTCCCAAAAAGCACCTTTAAGTACTTTTTACAAACGCTACGCACCCTGAATAAGAACTTAGGACCAAAATGCTTGCAAATTTTTTGAAAATAAACCAAGAACTATTAATACGAAGGTAAAGTATCCATCCTATAAATTTGCATTAATCTACTATAGTCCAAATCATTAGTTCTTTTCATTAACACTTTGCTTGTGGCACAATCAATCCACAATAAATCTGTCATAAAAATTTAGACTTAAGAAACATGATAGATATGTCTGTACTCAAGAATTCATAAATTGCTTTACATTGTTGGAATCTGAAACATAAATTCCATTTCGACAATGCTAAAATTATTTCCACCCCAGTTACATCAGCTCATCTTGATGCCCTGGAATCTTGTTTCATTCATTTAAATGTTGATTCCCATTAGTTTCTCCCCATAACGAGTAAAAATGCATTTTACCCGGATTTGCCTCTTGACCACTGTGATTTTTCTTGCTTTGTTATTCATCTTCTGTGGTTCTTCTAGGTTTGTTTCTCACCTTTATATTTTCATTTTTCGTTGGCAACTCTAAGTTTTTAATTTCAAAACATTTCAGTTTCTTTACATTGTCATCTGGGAAATCTTGATGATGGGGCCTATTTTTGAAGGGTTTGAAACAGGGTTGGCAAGTTTTTGACACATGGTGGTTTTTACCGGTTTATACCATGGTCCTTACCGTCATGTCAAAAAACCCTCTGTCAAAAACCCATAGTTTTGGTAAAACTGTATTTTTATTTGATTTCAACTGCTTATAATTTAAAATTAATTCATTTTTGGGTAATAAAATTAGAAAAAAAGCTGTTAAAAGATATTTAAGAACAGATTCTTGCATTTTCCCAACATGATTACATCAAAACATATTATTTGAAGTAAAATATTAGGATCAGGGGTCTGTCTAGGTTTTTCTGAGAGGTACCTATTTTGTGAAAATTTAGATATAATTTATGAAAAATTAAAAATTATATTTAAAAATCCAACACAAAAATATGGCAAGAATATGGATTTACCATGTCTTAAGGAATACAAAAATAAAATTTCAAGAAAAAGTATTTTGTGAAATTACCGTTTTTCCTAAAATTAAATTTGTGAAACTACCGTTTTTACTAGTTGAATTTGTGAAGGTACCGCTAAATGGTAGTAAATTCGGTCTGGACAGACCCCTGAATTATAATATAAACTCCAAGAAATCTGGAACAAGTTTTAAGTGATAAAATAAAAATCTTATGTACAAATTTATAAAAACAACAAATACAATATTAAAAATGCTTTACAACTGCAAGTCAAACTTTATAATAAACTTTTCAAGAAGATTTTAATAAAAACAAACCATAAAAAATTTTACAAATTTAAATTAAGAAATTTTTACAGACATGATAACGAAACACATAAACTTCGCTACAAAACAATTATAATAATTCTAAAGTATAATACAAACAGCTGTAAATATTCTAATTTATTGAATGTAGAATTTAATGTCACAAGAGCCAGATTAAGCTATTACTGCAATGCATCAAACTAAAATAAAAACATATGACAATACATTAAAGATAATTATATCAAAAATATTAAAAAGTGCTAGAAATGTCTGATGACTAACCAACACTTAGGTCAAAAATCAAGAAAGGTCATTAGAGCACCTTTAAGGTCTGGGCACCTATAATAGGCTGAAAAGAAATTTATTTTCAGTTTATCTTATACTTAAATTTATACAACACATTAATTGTTAATAAATTATATGTGTTTTAAAAATAAACTAAAAAAATAATTACATTCACACTATACTAACAATTGTGGAATATTTACTTACAATATCATCTGTATGGTCAGCATTTTGAAACAAATGTGCAACATCCTTAATAATAACTTTTATAATTTCACTATTATGCTCAATAGCTAGTCGAACTTTATCAAGATGTGAGCGATAACCTTTCAATAAGTCTTGATGATGAGTTGACAGAGAACTTATATATTTTGTAGATCTATAAAGCCTTTTCATACTATGTATCCTAAGGTAAAAATAAATAATTAACTTTGTTAATCTAAACAAATAAATGTAGATAATATACAAGATGTCCCAGGATTATGAGGATAAACTTTAAGGGGACATCACAACAATTCAGATTTGCATAACAACCTATGGTCAGAAACTTGCTAAAAAATCAAAATATTCTTTTTCTTAATTTATTATTAAATATTTTTTTAAAAAAATTTATAATTGTAATATATTTGCACTTTCGTCCTTGTTTGTATTGTAAAAAAATTCACACAGAAATTATAAAAAATTTTAAAATATTACATTATAGACTTATGAAAATGCTTCAATTCATTTCCCACTAAGTTACAAATGAAATTTGGATTATTAAAATTTATTAACACAACAATACATTTCAAACTTATGAAAATCAATAAAAAAATTTAAACAATCTTACATTAAAATGCTTTGAAAATTTTTAAATCTATGACTTCTTTTATATATATATATATACGTCATTGAACAGCCCACCCAATATTTGGGTTTACGACTACTGATGTTAAACTCCGTAGCCTCAAAATTTCGAACCAGAACACAAGGAAACTCCTGGGTAGTATCCTCAGAGGCATTAATTTGTAATGGGAACATGGAGGACTGTGAAACTCGACAGATTTAATGAGCATCAGTCACCATTTACTACGTGCGGAGTCTTCGGCCAGAACGCACGAACTCTTGGACATGGGCCCAGCACCCTACCGACCAGGCTATCCCGGCCTTAGTATGTCTTTCTTTTTAAAAAAATCTATTGATTTACTTTAAACCACAATTTAATTATGGTTTAAATCAAGCTTATTTAAATTACTGAGCCCCAACTTAAGGCCCAATTGACACTCTGCAAAAAAAAAGCGTCATGTTTTTTAATTAAATGATTTATTAAAAAAAATAGGTAAAGAATTTTTTTTTTCATTATATTTCAGGGGTCTGTCCATGCCAAACTTACTACCGTTTAGCGGTACCTTCACAAATTCAACTTCAGGAAAAACTGTAGTTTCACAAAATACTTTTTCTTAAAATTTTATTTTTGTATACCGTAAGAAACGTTAAATCCATATTTTTGTGTTGAATTTTTAATATAATTTCTAAATTTTCACAAAATAGGTATCTCTCAGAAAAACCTAGACAGACCCCTGTATTCAAAACCTCACATTACCTTATTTTTTTTTCATTATATTCAAAATATTTTAAAATTTTTCTCATAATTAAGCTTATCACAACTGAAATAATTAATAACATAAGCCAATAAACATCAAGCACTAAGAAAATATGCACTAATAAAACAATTGAAAATTATGAATTCAATACGTTTATAAAAATGGATATTTTAAAAATCAAGTAGTGAATTTCCATTTAAAATAAGCTTTTTCATATAGTTTACAAATCATGAAAATTATATTTTTTTGTGTGTGTGTGTGTGCGTTTTAGAGATCCTGTGACGAATTTTAAGATCTTGTGATGAATTTTGACCCAAGACTCATAAGACCTGNAATATATTGTCCGCTATATGCCATAAATTAAAGAAAACAGTAGGTTTTTGACGTTTTTTACCGGTAAAAACACGGTTTTTACCACTGTCATGTCAAAAACCAGTTTTTGACGGCAAAAACCCAACCCTGGTTTGAAACATGTTGACTATTATTTCTTAGTTGATTATTTCTAAAGTGAATGAAGTTTTCAATCAGGAATGATTCAATCAGTGTATGCTTTTTATTAAAAACAAATATTCAATTTCCAATAGTGGGTAAATTAATAAAATAAAACATTAGAACATAAATTTGTCCTATTTTACTTTTTGTAATATCTAAATAAAGGAACTCTGTTACTTACTGAACTATGTTCTCCACTTTGAATGTTACATCCAAGAATCATTGAAGTCAATTTCCTTAATGATGGGGTCTTTCCACCACTAATTTCTCGAAAAGGCTTATACTTCGATGTGTCTCTGATTAATGAGCGTGGGTGGCTGATGAATAAGACCTAAATACAAAAAAATAAAACAAAAATTTTAAAATAATGATACAAATAAATATTTCTTTACAAATAATAATATAAATAATAAGTATCGTTAATAGTTATTATAATATATATTATAGTTATTAAAATAGTTTAAGTATTATTACTAGTTACATAAAATAATAAGTATTTTGTTTTATTTCTAAAAAAAGGCAGAAAAAAGTGCATGAAAATTTCAGACTGTTAGCGTAACCTATTTTATTGCTATAAAAATAAATAAATGTATTTTAAATTAAGTCTCATAAGAATACTTCTAAAATGCTCTAAATCATTATATTTTTAAATAATAAATAGTTACAAATATTTATATTTTTGTGGAAAATTATACGCCGTTGTTCTTAGTTTAGAAACTGATTTATAACCTCCAGGAAAGACCACCTCTCAGGGTTCATACAGAGATCAGAAGAAGAAATCCAAGGAGTATCCAAGGAGTCCAAAATTTTAAGGACTTATCAAAAATTTAAAAACTTTGTCTAAAAGATAGTTTTTTTTTAAAAATTAAAAAGCAGTTATTGTAAGGAACTTGCAAAAATGTATATTTTGAATTTAATTTCTATCCCTTTTGAAATAAATTTTGACTTTGTCAAACTTCGTCAAGAAAAATAAATTAAGTTATCACTTTGGCACATAAAAACATTTTCCAATTTCAAATATTTTAATAAATCTTCTTAAAGTACAGGTGTTAAGGATTGACATAAAAACCAACCAATCTTATATTTTTAAATTTGAATACATAAGAAAATCTAAGGCATCTTATACCCAAAAAAAAAAAAAAAAAAATCACAGCAAATTATTAATTAAGTTTGCTAGTAACATGTAAAATTATTTGCTGTTACTTTTCTTCTTCTAACTCTTGAAATTCAATTTTTATTCTTTTAAAAGTTTTCTTAAACTGCTAGATTTTGACAGCTAAGTCATATCCAATGGTGCAAGTGGCTAAACATGGCGTTGGAGCAGATGTAATAAAAAGAATTAAAACAAGAATTTAATAACAAGAATTTTCAATTTTGTTCATTAATAACATGTCTTATTTTTTTCATTTTTATGAAGGTCCCTGCATTAAAAAATTAAGTTTCTATTTGGTATCTTCCAATGTTGTTAAATATTCTGCTATCCTCGACTTTTCCTCAGATAAGAGGATCTGTTTGCTTTCTATAATCGACATGTCTTTATTATTTAACCCATCTTTAATATTTTTTTCAGCTGTGGCTAAGAGATCCTGAGAAGTCTTCAATTTTTTTTGCAAAGCAATTTCAGCAGCTTTCAATCTGCTTTTCTAAGTTTCAGTGTCTTCACATTCTTTTTTCTCAACCTCTAATCGAGCAAAATAATTTTTAAATGCTGCACGAGCCACTTTAATCATATCTTTGTCAACTTTAAAGTTATTTAAACCCCCTATTTTGTTGATATATGACACAATTTGTCTCAAACCATTAATACTATGTGAATTTAAACCTGCCTAGTGTCAAGTAGCTTTTTGTTCACACTAAAACTTCTTTCAACATCGGCATTCTCATGTGGTATGCACGAAAGAGATTTAAAAAGTTTTGCTAAAAGAGGATATTTGATATTTCTCAAATTTTCTTTCTTCACAAAATAGTTTTTCCAAAACATATCAATTGGTGTATATTCATTTCAGTCAGAAGAATAACCTTCTGGTTTTCTATGTAACCTCGTCCATTCATCTAGTAACAAAGATGCCTTAATAGAAGTGTCTTCCATTCTCATTACAGGATGCAACACTTTAAGATGGAACAGTAACCTATTTTCAAGAGGCAATGCTTTTAATAACTCTTTTGCACATGCCATAGACCTGGCACCTAAATACATAGAATTTTTTTCTGAAGAAGATAAGGATGTCATCACATTTGTGGTATCTAGTTCAACATCTATTAAATTTGAATTTTGCCAAATATCTGCGTTTTCTACACCCTATGATTTTAAGTCCTTTCCTGACAAACTAAGAAAAGCAGAACTCTTTAAAAAACCTCCTAACAATGCCTTTACTAGAGACACCATTTCATCATACAGCAAGCGAATCAATGGTGTCTCAGTTTGGAAAAGACTTAAAAATTAATTTAATATAGCAAAAATATTTTTTTTTTTTTTTTTTTTTTTTTTTTTTTNTTTTGGCAAAAGCAATTTAAATAAATTCAATATTGCGTGGCTCATACTATTTTCTAAATTAATAATTACTTTATTTAATTCTGTAAAAAGTAAGAAAACTTGAATAAATTTTATTACAAATGTAAATTAGTGAATGGCCCCTAATAAATTTTTATTAAAATTGGTTACCTAGTACAGTATTTTATTAATGAAATGATTAAAAAAAATTAAATAATTTTTAAATGCAAATTCAATGAGTATTGAAGCTAAAAAAATTTGCCAGAAGTAAATTATTATATTGTCCCTACACTCATAATATTTAACAAATTTGTGATAATTAAAAATTTTAATATCAATTGTTTTAAATCAAAGATCATTTTTAAATCATTAAGAGATGAATTAAAGTATTTTTGAATGACAAATCGGAAAAACATAAGATTTTTTGCTGCATTTAAAATATTGAAAGCCCCTCTCTTCATGCTTGCCTCTAAATATTATTACGTTTTTCCTTAAACAAATTAAGAGCACCAAAAATTTTGAAAGTAATAATAGAATAATAAAATGCAATGAGTAAAAAATAGAAAAATATTATTTAAAAAAAAATCAATTAAGTAAAATCAATGTTTAAATACAATATGCAATTAGTGGATGGTCCCTCAGATAAGAAAATTAATTTTCATATTTAAATTAATTTTAAATTAATTAATTTTTACCTTTATTAAATTAAATGAATAAAGGGGAGATGGAAATTTTGAGGTTATGAAGTTTTGTGATTCTTGACTGCTCTGAGGATCAACATGAAAATATGTACTTAGTGAATGGTCCGTCAAATTAATTTAAAGATCATGGTACTAATCTATAAATAGAATAGCGCAAGAAGGCCATTAGTTTGCCATTGACGAAGTTGATAGCACTTCAATAACTATGAAATAAACAAGAGAAATAAAAGTTTCTCTTGCTATTAAAATTTGGCAATGCTTAGTTGGTCCCCGAAAATTCGAGAGAAGTTTCGGTTCCATTCCAGAGAGTGGAAAATGAAGCCTGAAATTGAGAATATGTTGCAAAATAAAGCAGAGTTGCACATGAAAGTGCAAGAATCCTTCCCACTGAATCCAGAGCAACCCACATGGCAGTAGCTTGGTTGCCGCAAAATTGTGACTTCACGATACCCTGGGGAAAATATCCTTTTTCGAGCAATTTAAGCCAACTACTTCAATTTGGAGCATGTAGGAGCAGGTTTCCACAATTGGCGAGGATCGGTGCAGCACTTGCACCACTGCAT